TTTAAAAATTTTTGTACAGTTTTTCCTATTTATGCAGACAGTAATTAAAATAATTTCTAAAATTGAGTTTAACAAGTGGAAACAAAATAAAATTGTTGCAGCTTTATTTTTTGAAGAAGTGGTAAAACCATTTAAGGGTAATTTTGGTCAAGTTATAATTTGGTTTTAGTAAAACTTTTAAAATTGAAAAAATTGCAGTGTATTTAAAGAAATCTTCAACAACTGATAAAAAAAAGAATATTTACGGTAAGAAAGCGAGTAACAAAGGTGGTTCTGTTACTTTTTGATTCTCATTTACTTACGTTAGAATACTCAAAATGTGCTATTCGTAGAAAAGAAATTTATCAAAAAGTTAGGAATTTTAATTTACTCTGTGAGATAAAGTTATAGCTCTTATCATTGTGAAGAAACATATAAAATCTAAAAAATCTTCATTCTTAAGATCAAAATCGCAATAAAAAACTTCAAATAAATCGATTTTTTACCTTATTCCCCGGGTTCAGTTACATAGGTAGCAAACTGTTCAAAACTTAAGGAAACAATCAACTATAAAACTGCACCTAAAATCCCAATAAACAACTCATGCGATCACGCACCGACCGCAGCAATACAGCAAAGCATTAAGCTCAACACATGCATCGAGGTACGCAGCACACAATATAAAAGCAAGTGTTTACGTGTTAAAAAATATATTAAGTGCTTCTCTAAATTCAGCGTATACTTAATATTTGTAATATCAATAAATCATTAACACGTATACGTACAGATGTCGTTAATACAAGCAGTACAATTACTCAATGTAAAACTTGAAAGGATAAAGAAGATGAATAGTCTATAGACTAGACTAGACTATAGACTAGACTATAGACTAGACTATAGACTAGACTATAGACTAGCTATAGACTAGACTATAGACTAGACTATAGACTAGACTATAGACTAGACTATAGACTAGACTATAGACTAGACTATAGACTAGACTATAGACTAGACTATAGACTAGACTATAGACTAGACTATAGACTAGACTATAGACTAGACTATAGACTAACTATAGACTAGACTATTAGACTAGACTATAGACTAGACTATAGACTAGACTATAGACTAGACTATAGACTAACTATAGACTAGACTATAGACTAGACTATAGACTAGACTATAGACTAGACTATAGACTAGACTATAGACTAGACCTATAGACTAGACTATAGACTAGACTATAGACTAGACTATAGACTAGACTATAGACTAGACTATAGACTAGACTATAGACTAGACTATAGACTAGACTATAAGACTAGACTATAGACTAGACTATAGACTAGACTATAGACTAGACTATAGACTAGACTATAGACTAGACTATAGACTAGACTATAACTAGACTATAGACTAGACTATAGACTAGACTATAGACTAGACTATAGACTAGACTATAGACTAGACTATAGACTAGACTATAGACTAGACTATAGACTAGACTATAGACTAGACTATAGACTAGCCTATAGACTAGACTATAGACTAGACGAGAGACTAGACTATAGACTAGACTATAGACTAGACTATAGACTAGACTATAGACTAGACTATAGACTAGACTATAGACTAGACTATAGACTAGACTATAGACTAGACTATAGACTAGACTATAGACTAGACTATAGACTAGACTATAGACTAGACTATAGACTAGACTATAGACTAGACTATAGACTAGACTATAGACTAGACTATAGACTAGACTATAGACTAGACTATAGACTAGACTATAGACTAGACTATAGACTAGACTATAGACTAGACTATAGACTAGACTATAGACTAGACTATAGACTAGACTATAGACTGACTATAGACTAGACTATAGACTAGACTATAGACTAGACTATAGACTAGACTATAGACTAGACTATAGACTAGACTATAGACTAGACTATAGACTAGACTATAGACTTGACCATAGACTAGACTATAGACTAGACTATAGACTAGACTATAGACTTGACTATAGACTAGACTATAGACTAGACTATAGACTAGACTATAGACTAGACTATAGACTAGACTATAGACTAGACTATAGACTAGACTATAGACTAGACTATAGACTAGACTATAGACTAGACTATAGACTAGACTATAGACTAGACTATAGACTAGACTATAGACTAGACTATAGACTAGACTATAGACTAGACTATAGACTAGACTATAGACTAGACTATAGACTAGACTATAGACTAGACTATAGACTAGACTATAGACTAGACTATAGACTAGACTATAGACTAGACTATAGACTAGACTATAGACTAGACTATAGACTAGACTATAGACTAGACTATAGACTAGACTATAGACTAGACTATAGACTAGACTATAGACTAGACTATAGACTAGACTATAGACTAGACTATAGACTAGACTATAGACTAGACTATAGACTAGACTATAGACTAGACTATAGACTAGACTATAGACTAGACTATAGACTAGACTATAGACTAGACTATAGACTAGACTATAGACTAGCTATAGACTAGACTATAGACTAGACTATAGACTAGACTATAGACTAGACTATAGACTAGACTATAGACTAGACTATAGACTAGACTATAGACTAGACTAGACTATAGACTAGACTATAGACTAGACTATAGACTAGACTATAGACTAGACTATAGACTAGACTATAGACTAGACTATAGACTAGACTATAGACTAGACTATAGACTAGACTATAGACTAGACTATAGACTAGACTATAGACTAGACTATAGACTAGACTATAGACTAGACTATAGACTAGACTATAGACTAGACTATAGACTAGACTATAGACTAGACTATAGACTAGACTATAGACTAGACTATAGACTAGACTATAGACTAGACTATAGACTAGACTATAGACTAGACTATAGACTAGACTATAGACTAGACTATAGACTAGACTATAGACTAGACTATAGACTTGACTATAGACTAGACTATAGACTAGACTATAGACTAGACTATAGACTTGACTATAGACTAGACTATAGACTAGACTATAGACTAGACTATAGACTAGACTATAGACTAGACTATAGACTAGACTATAGACTAGACTATAGACTAGACTATAGACTAGACTATAGACTAGACTATAGACTAGATATAGACTAGACTATAGACTAGACTATAGACTAGACTATAGACTAGACTATAGACTAGACTATAGACTAGACTATAGACTAGACTATAGACTAGACTATAGACTAGACTATAGACTAGACTATAGACTAGACTATAGACTAGACTATAGACTAGACTATAGACTAGACTATAGACTAGACTATAGACTTGACTATAGACTAGACTATAGACTAGACTATAGACTAGACTATAGACTAGACTATAGACTAGACTATAGACTAGACTATAGACTAGACTATAGACTAGACTATAGACTAGACTATAGACTTGACTATAGACTAGACTATAGACTAGACTATAGACTAGACTATAGACTAGACTATAGACTAGACTATAGACTAGACTATAGACTAGACTATAGACTAGACTATAGACTAGACTATAGACTAGACTATAGACTAGACTATAGACTAGACTATAGACTAGACTATAGGACTAGACTATAGACTAGACCTATAGACTAGACTATAGACTAGACTATAGACTAGACTATAGACTAGACTATAGACTAGACTATAGACTAGACTATAGACTAGACTATAGACTAGACTTATAGACTAGACTATAGACTAGACTATAGACTAGACTATAGCTAGACTATAGACTAGACTATAGACTAGACTATAGACTAGACTATAGACTAGACTATAGACTAGACTATAGACTAGACTATAGACAGACTTTAGACTAGACTATAGGCCAATTTACCCGTTTTACCCTTTTCCTCCCTCCTTATTAGATCGACATCACCATAAGTGCATCTTGCTTGCCAATATATAATGATTGTAGGCTGTTATCAATCAGTCAGTACACGATTCTTTTAGATATACTTTAATAATTTTATTGCTTTTAAGTTAACCCCATCCATTGTGCATTTCTACTTGCGTTTTTTTCACTTTTCAATAAATTTCATTTATTATTTTCTCTCACAAAATTAATGACCATTAATATATCAATATTGATATTATTGTGGTATTGATTGATTATTAATATTGTACAACATTTCAATCAATATCATTAATATTTTAATGCCCTGTCAACGTTCCAATTGGTTGACTGCCACAATCGTAAATAAAATGTATTTTGCTGTTTTTTACTTCAAGTGTATTTTTAGTGTTGTATGGAAAATTGAGAAAATGTTAAAAAACATATAAAAAATTATAAAAATAATATTTAATAGATATTTACAAATTGTATTTTATCGAGTTGTTATCATTCAACAGAAAAGTATTTGGTAGATATTTTTGTCAAACCATGACATGAGCGTCCTACTCAATATGGAAAATTGCCTGCTATAAATGCTTTGTAGCATACATACTACCTGTAATGTTAAATAAAAATTAAAAAAAAAACTTGGCAATCTAATGTCCATTTTGTATATTTCCTAAAACTGTACATATGAGTGAACACGCCAAAATATTCGCTTCAAATTTAATTATAGTTTTTTGTAAAATAAACAAAAATTTTCAATAAATTCGATTAAATTTTCTAAACGTAGTGATTCCATAATTGATTTTTAATAAAACAAACCCGCAAAACATTTACCACAAAAAAACTTAGCGAAAAAAGCCCAGATTTATTTCAAAACACTACATGTGTGGTTGTGTAGAGATGTATAAATAAAAATTCAATTATAAAATCCCACAAATCGATCATAAATTGTTAATTGTATCACAACCATAGATAAAAATCCCTGATTTTAGCCACAAAAACGTAAAATAATAAAATAAATAATATTTAATAGTTGTTGCAAAATTTAATATAAATTTTTGTTTATTTAATTTGTTTTGCAG